ATTTATAATTTTCTAGAATATGTCGTTTATGTTGTAATTCCAAATAAATTGTAAAGTTGTTATAAAACTGTGAAATGTATTTTTTTTTTTACAAATGCATACCCCCTTAAAATTTGCTATTTCCCGACAGTATGCATTTAGAAAAGGTTAACAGTAATAATTAAATATGATGGTAAGTAGACACTTTTAAAAGATCAGACCAATATTGGAAAGATATTTGATAAAGGTAACAAGTACAAGCTAAAGAATCCTCATGCATGTAGTTTTTTTTTTTTGTTTTGTTTGCTTAAAAAATAAATAGACAATATTTGTGTTTGAGCTCAATGCATTTTGGCTATTCTTATTATGGAATAATTAATTTTGTTAAAAATTCCGGCATTTAACGCATGTTACGTATAAGTAAGTATATAGTAAAAATTTAACTAATAAATTCAACTAATAAATTCACCCGCGATTTTTTTTACATAATTCTCGGAGAACATAAAATTTTCCTTATTAGTGCTATTCCTAATTTGGAAAAAGTTAAAGCGGAATGATCAAGGTTTAACTTAAAATTAGGGTTAATGACATTTGAAGTTAGAGTTAGGGCGGGTAATTACGTTTAAATAACTTTTCCATCATACCTTTATTAATGCTTCAAGAAAAGTTTAAACAATTTTTCTCATCATTTTTCTCATCATTTATTTTTTTTACCTTTGTGAAAAGTTCACGAATTAATTGGTCAATAGATGCAGACCCTGCTTTTAATCCAACACCTAATTTGGAATTAATATAAATTTTTATAGTTTTCAGCTTTCATCAAGTAACCCTAAGCTGAATTGGCATGTGAGAACGCGTAAGGTTGTGGGATAATTTTTCATTTCGAATAAAATAATATTTATTGTATGTACATACGTGTTAGAACTTGGTAAAATTCAAGTTTACAAATAACCTAATTTGGGAATGAAGAAGGTATTATACATACATATATACTTCGCCACGCGAATAAAATCATAGTACTTACGAGTACTTACGTACGTACGTACGAATAAATTTATAAAATATAACGCTCGTTGGTGAATTATTTACCGCAGCGCAATATGCAAAATTTTTCGTTATATGTTACATGAATCGGTGTTTAACGGATATATATTTCCTTAATAGGAATTATGAACTCTTCACGAACGTATTATGATTGAACATTGTATGCAGTATGTTGATCAGAGATCTTGTGCCGGTGAGATACATAGTACAAAATATGCCTAGGCCTTTAAGTTTACCAAGAATAAATGATTCGTCATTAAAATTTTCCAAGCTTGAAAAAGATTATCACATTTGTTTCGAAACGCGAACCTGGAAGCCGTGATGACAGTCAAAAAAAGAAAATTAAATAATATCAAAATACCGACAGGTTTCAGAAAAAAGGATTTTTATTGGTGTTTTTATTGATGCTCTTGCTTTTGATATATATATATATATATTTCTCATTTGTTCAGAGAATTACCGGATTTGAAGAATCAAATTGTTATTTATAGCAATTATGGTGATAAAACAAAAAATGCATGTATTAAATATAATCTTAATTGTTAATATTGTGCTATCCTAAACTTCATTTTCTTATCACAAGGTTTTTTTTATCTCAGATCGCGTAATTTCAAAAGAACCCGTATATCTAGCACATTATAAAAATCTATTGAAAAAAGAGATATTATTTTGATTAGATGTGATTATATAAGCCTTTATTGCATAAAATATATAAGTTTTTATTGCATAAAATATATAAGCCTTTATTGCATGAAATATATTCGTGACAATTTTTATAGTTGACAATATATAATATAGAGTATGTTATTACATAAATTACAAACTACTGTAACCTTTTTAAAATTAATATTCTATTAAATACAAATAGTGATGGGACTACCGTTAAGGATAAATTTTCGCATTCAATTATGAAGAATCAAAATTTTTTTTAAAAGATCGCGGTGTGATTTATCCTATCACTAAAAAATATAGCATTTACTTGTTTTAGGTATGCGAATTTTGACATATTTAATTTTAAATTTGTATCGTAACTATTAAATTTTCTCGAGTTCAAGAAGTTTTTAGTTAGTTCGAAAGTAAGCTATCAGTTATATTTTAAAACCGTACGTACGTACGTACGTACAGTATTTGGTACGGTATCGTGTGAAACAACAGAACATGTACCCATGTTTATTGTCTTTTAACATAGACATTTGAGCTACCCGAGTATTATTAGTTACCCAGGTAATTTATTATATTATTTTTAGTAGCAATTCTAGTCTGGGTTCCATTTGGCTTAGACATTTAATATCCTTTTACAAATAGTTTTTACGACTTTGGTAAAGATATTCGATGTTCCAAGAATGTGTTTCCTTAATCGAATCGAATGTGTAATGGCTGAAAGCCATTTATCATTGTTAGATTATTTGTTACCAATTTTAATTAATCCTCAAATGCAAGTTTTTTTTTCTGTTCAAAAAATTTGTTTTTTTTTCACGAGAAATTGTTTTTTTGTTTATCAGATCATCTATTTATCTATATTTAATATATATTTAATAACTTCCAAAAAAAAATGGCGCCATTTGCAGATTTTCCCATCTTACCATCATCGTAACACGCGAGTTTGTTCGAGATTTCTTAAGTTTCTAAGAAATTTCCTGATATAAAATTGATAAAAGATCGGGGGAGCTCAGGTATCGTAGTATAGTAGTATGATTCATCAGATACACAAGAAAACAATTAGTTTCAACTTTCTAAAAAAAATAAAGAAAGGAAAAAAACGAAGATTTATAAACCATAATCTTATTTTCTATAGAGCCTTGTATGGCATACATATGAACAAATGAAACCAATTAGTCTTTGGTGTAATTTTTGCCGCTTTTATCATATGATCTGAAATATAGATTTACGATAATTGTTTTACAAACAAATTAAATAGTAAACTATTGTTTGTACAAATTAAAAAGTCTAATTTAATATTGAACTTTAAAAATAATTGCCTCGGTCTATTTCGTAAAATGTGAAGAAAGCTCTATCATGATCATTGTAAAAATTATGAAAATTGACATTACGAACATTACGAACATTACGAACATTATGAACATTATGAACATTATGAACATTACGATCACTATGTCAAGTTTATATAATAATTTTCGAAATTCTGATCATGTTATGTACAGTAACAATACATGTACAGTAGAAGATCAAAAAATAGATACAGAGTACATGGAGTATAAGGCTACTTAATAAGTTTAAGATGGTTATCGTGCTTTGCAATCTGCTACATGGGCGTAATCTGAAAAGGTCATGCATTGCATTGTTTGCAGCCAGTAACCTGGTTGTGTTAATTGACATTAGTGGAATGCTATCCTTATTTTTTCTGATTCGTATCATGACATGTCGATTTAAGAGAGTGAGTTGCATAAATGTTCATCTATGGCGTTTCGTGGTATGTTTTTCACGGTTCTTTTGCATCAAATGTGTCTGAAACTTACCGCAACAATACAGGCATACTTGTTTATTTTATTTAATTTGTTTTTTGCTTTTTTTTTTTTTTTTTTTTTTTTAGACATGGGTACTTCTCTTACAGGTAAATTCTTTGTTCTCAAGAAAATGTTGATTTTTTTAAAAAAAGATTTGTATCATCTATAATTAACTTGTTCCGAAAAAAAAAAAAAAAATAGATTCTCATAGTTCTTGATCTGTTCCATCGATTTAATCTTCAGAATATTTGAATGCAGATGCACGCAATGTAATAAATTTAACAGTTTAAGGAGATGATAACTTTTTCCATTGTTTAGTCTGCAATTTGTTAGTTAATTTCCAGCTGTATGTTTAATATTCGGCGATTTAAGATAATGGTTATTTATGTAATTTTAATTTAACTTACATATATCGAATCTTTGCCATGAAAAAAAATGACATGCCTATTGTATATAGATTTTATGGTTAAAATTTAAATTCGTTATCTGTCCAATGATCCAATTTAAATAAACTTTTGTTTGTTTTTTTTTTAGAACGCTCATTTTCTACTAAAAAAAAATAAAGTTTATTAAATTGGGTGATTGGATGGCTAACGAATTTAAATTCTATTCATAAAATATATACATACCAGTAACCTTAAAGTATAATTTTTCCTAGTAAAAACTCATATGTTCTCTAGTAACTTCTGAACTTGTCGCAAAAGATTTTAAAAACTGACATTTATTAAAAATAATATTATAAATAAATTAATTAATAATACTTTGGATTATATTGTCGTCGTCTGTACCGATGCCAAGGAAAATTATAATTATCAGTACTACAGTATTTTCTTGGTGTAGAATTACCGCTATCCTTTTTTGCATTACGTGACTAAGATCTTCGGAAGTATAGACGTTTCAAGTCACATAAAATTTCATTTAAACTATATCTTTTAATATAAAAATAAAAAACAAACTAATTATGTCTATTTCATGCATAATATTAAATGCATGCTTCACTATTTATGTATCAAGAAAAATAAATACGCCTTACCTTCCCTTTTTGAAAGTCTCTGAATATCGAAAAAGAAAGTGACGATCTTGACTCTCTTTTACAAATCATTAACACTTAGCATAATTGTTTATATGTTGTCTTGACTTCAAACAACATATAAGTGCATGATTTAGATTTTTTTTTTACGTTTATTCTTCGGCCTTTCTGGCAAGACGAAAGACTGATCAAGGGCAATATTTTCTTATTAGTAGTCCTCTATTTGCCTTACTTTTTTTTTTCTTTTTTTGTTCCCATAGTGCTTGCTAAAATTTTCACATTCTTTGCTTCAAAGTTCTCATCTCATATTTCATCATTTTCATATATTTATTGTCATTTGTATTTGCTTCATCATTTCCGATTTTCTTTACGGTATCCCAACTTTTCTCGTCATATCATCTTTTTTCTTTACTATCTTTTACCTTATTTAAAAAAAAAAAAAAAAAAGCCATCAATTCATCCTTCAATAATATGATTATGCAATGCATTTATTTTTATCGCTAAACCGAATTTCGTTTTTGGCTGTACCGGCATTCTTTCTACTCTTCACTAATGTCGTGATCGCTCAAAATCAAGGTAACACAAGAAACCGGCAATAAAATATTTGGCAAAACAATAATTAACAACCCGAATTTCTTTAACTATTATATCTTTAGTTGTTGAAAACTCCGATCAACAATATGAATTTGATTATCAAAATGATATTGTTGCTTTTATAGCCATTACCTTTGGTCACATAAACTTGTGTGCATGCCTTTATGTGGTAAATTATTTATACTGTATAATAATTTTATAACTTTAATTTTACTATATACACAGAACAGATAATCATTTAATTATCTTAAATATTTTAGATATATTCGGCATTTAAAAGATGGCGTGCAAGTTCTCTATCAATATCAACCCGTATTCCACTATATTTTGGAATTCTTGAAGTGTGCCAATGTAAGTTTAATTTGATTATTTATTATTTATTTACAGTAAACTGTATTTTTTGATTATACTGTATGTAGTAACCACTTTCGTGTATCTATTTTTTTATTAAAATAGATATCGTACTTATGCCAAACTTTATGTATTCTTTGATAAATAAACAATTAATTCCCGGTTTCTGCTGTGAAGTTCTTGCCTACCTGCTCTTTTTGCAAATTACTATAAACATGATTTTGATGGCTAGCATAGCCATGACCACTTATCTGGTAAGTTCCAATTTTATAATCACGTGTTTTTATTTCTTGGGATTTTCTAGATTTATTCTTTTATTTATTTAAATATTTAAAATTTAGAGAATTGTAATAAGCAAAAATATTTACTTAGGAACGTATGATTGGTAAGCATTCAACCTCCGTGCATCACGTGACTGATCACATGACTCATTATTCATTTACTTAAATCGACAGGAAGCTCTTTGTTTTCATTATTATATCTTCGATAATAGTGACGATACCTTCTATCCGATCTTTGGGTCCTTCTCGGTTTTGGTGCATGACAGTTTCTAAGCAAGCGAACGAACTATTAATTGATGGATTTACAATATTTTGCGTGACTTTTTTTATCACTTGTTTTTGTTATCTTCAAACTCTATCGACTATATTTAATATTGATCATGATGGAATGACCGATTGTAAAGAAAGAATGGATAGATGGAATAAATTAGAAAGAAAAGCGACAAGAAAAATTTTGATGTATGTCGTTAGTTTTATGATTAGATGGCTACTCTTGATCCCTTTTGGTGTTGGAGTTATGTCTGGGCATGATTACATTTGGATGCATATCACAGCTGTTGTTGGTATGTATTCCTTTTCAAATTTTCGTGTTCTTAACTTTTAATATAATCTTTAGTACCCTAGCCCTGACAAAATCCCAAATCAAATTTTCACGTGACAAAGATCCTACTCAATTTTTGTATTAAATAAATCAGATAAGATCGTTGTCAAGTAATAGTAACATGGCTAGGGTATGTGATTACCATCATGCATCTCATTATTGACTTTTGTTATATACCAGCTTTCAATATGGGAGGAATTACCATTTCAATTTTATATTTGATGAACGAATGTCTCTCAGATCACAATTTGCATCCAATTTCAGAACAAATACATACAACTATTACATCAAAAAATAGAACATCTATCTGCTTTTAATGCATCGGCATTAAATGTTTCTCCAAAATCTATTACTATACCAATGGCTGTTTTTATTCCATCTATATTCAATCCTGATAGTCCCACTTTTAATTGTGAATCTATTTATGGAATAAATTCTTTAGATAGTGATAATTATGATGGAAAAATTCGTGAAAAGCAGCAACAACCCAATGGAGGTAGGAGTCCATCAGATGATGATAGTTCTACACAAACTGACACTTCAGATATCGAAGAAGAGCTCTATTTGGCATTATGTTAATTTTACTTTAATTATTAATTGGTTAGAAATGTTTATTTTATTATTAAAGAAAAAAATAAGTTCTGTTGGACAATGATGGTAATAATATAAAGTTAAATAGAAAAATTCTGTGGAAAAATTTTTTTTTGCAAACGTAGCATGTGATCTAGATTTTTTTTGGCAATTCTTTTTTTGTACTATATTTTTTTTCACTTTTTCAATTAATACATAATAGAATCTGTTTTTTTTTTTCTTTTTCGGTGGGAATTGTTTTATGTAATAAAATTTTGTACGGTACAAGAAAAGTATTGCCTTTTTTTTTTTTTTTTATGCTCTTACAATTTTGGGTAGCTAAAATGTTTAGAGCACCTTATGTGTTTTTCTATAAGTTATGTATTCTAAGATTTAACCTTTTATGATTGATAAATGATATCGGTATTTGTATTTTATAAATACCAGATATTTAAGTTCTTAAGAAAACAAGTTTCTTGTAAAGACTGTTGTGACAATTTATTGTAGTATATTGTCGCCCCTCTATACCGAACCTTTGTATACGTACCTAATATCACGTCTTAGTATATAAGCAATAACCTATTTTATACCTGTAAACTGTATAACGAACGTTCATGTATGACGGCTATTTCTATATGAGTGCCGTGAATCATCTAGCACCGTCGCATTCAAAACTTTATCTGGCTCTGAAGATTAAAGGTCTTTGATTGTGATGCTTCTAGCAAGGCTAGAGCAGATGAATTAAATTTAGATTCCTTATTTATAATTTTGATACATATTTGTTGGGGTTCTCGAGCTTCAATATTTGAAAAAAATTCTCCGGCATGCGGATGATTAGGACATGGAGCAACATCATTAGCTCTGAGGTCAATTATACCCCAGCACAACGGGCTATATATTATTTTATTTACTACTAACTAATACCCTTCAGACTACCTTATTCGGTCAGTGAGTATTATAATAAATTTTTAATGATATAAAATATATATATAATATTTGACAACGATTAAAGTAACCTAAATACAGCAAAAGTATACATTGTAATAAAGACAACACGTTTAAAGCATGGTGTTGGGCATGTGATCCCAACAGTGAATATTAACGATTGCATCAGAGAATTTCAGCTTAGAACCTTGGGAATGCAATTGAGCGGATTCCATTTAACAAATTACCGTGTAAGCGCTCGTGGGCATTATTTGAAAATCGGATTCTTCAAAAATAACTTATATGTTCTCGACATTAGCACTGTGGGTATCCCGAAATAACGCGCATTCTAATGTAGCACATAATTTGTTGTGATAAATGATATACAATTGGCACTCCATATGTGTACTCTTTATAAGTGCACTTCACATGCACTTTCCAGTGTTTCGGGCGAAACTATTTTCTAAATCCGAAACGTTTCGCCCGAAATACTGATAAGTGCACATAATTTGATGAAATTATTTAATATTATCGTTATATGTAGATTATACCCCATAAATGAATATTCTATAAATGCACTTTTACCCAAAAACGTGCAGTTATGGAAGGTTGACTGTATTGGATTTA